GGTTTCTATGTGTAGCTTTGGAGCCACCCCTGGCACTCACTCTGTAGACCAGGATGCCCTTGAACTCACCGAGATCTGCCTGCCTCTGCCTCCTGAGTGCTGGGATTAAAGGTGTGCACCACCAACACCCGGTTTCAGCTGACTTTTGATATGCTGTGATATATTTTCTGATGTGCTGTGGCTTGCAGGTTTAATGCCAGTTCCCTTGCAAGATATATGATTTGCAAAAACAGGCTTGAGAGTGACTCAGCTGCTAAGACTATATACTACTCTTGCAGAAGATCTGAGTTCAGTTCCCAGTGTGCATCCGGGCTGCTCCACAGGATCGGAGGTCCTCTCCAGATATCTGTGAACAATTACTTTCATATGCACATACCACTTGTGTGCATATACAGTTTTTTTTACCAATTTTCCCATTTTGTTCGTTTTCCTATTTTTCCTTATCTTTTCTTCTATCGAATAATCTCTTCACCACTTTCAGAAAAGAACCAACTATAAATTGAGAGACAGCACTGAATCAATGCTAGCCAACTGTGTCATGCCCCAGCCTATGTGTGGGATCTGATTCTGGACTCTGAGTTCAATTCCGTTGATTCATATTGCTCTCCTATGTCACTATTTTACTGTCCTAATTCCTTTAGCCTTCTGATTAGCTGTGAGCAGAAAGTGTAGGTTTCACCTTTGTCCTTGTTGTCAAGATTGTTTTGTCTATACATATCCCTTGAGTTTCCATAGAAACTTTACAAAAGTTATGTCCATTCTGGCCAAGAAGCAGATGGGGGAAGTGACTGATCAAATCTTCAGTAATATTTTCCCTGTTCTTTCATCTTGAAATCTAAGCCTGAGGAAGATGTCTAGTGGCCATCCAGCTCCGATACATCCCCCCACACACACAGTGCTGGGGTCACAGCTGCACACAAGACCATACTGGCTTTTTGTGTGAGTGCTGGGGATTCAAACTCAGGTCCTCATAGCCACAGCAGAAAGTCCTTTTGCCCACAGAGCCACCTCCCATGATCCCTTAGTTGTCATTCATCTCTGAGCCCCTATGACCTGAAGTGGTTTAAATGTGGACACCCCCCTTGGCTTTCAATAATTGAACAGTTGGTCTGGGGGCAGTGCTTTGTGGAGAGGATGAGGAGGAGTAGCCTGCTATAGGAAGTCTGTCCCTGAGGGCAGGATCTGAGAATTTGAAGCCTCACCCTACTTTTGGTTTGCTCTCTCTGCTTCCTACTTCCAGAGCCCTCGGCTTCCTGCTCTGGTCACCATGTCGGCTGCCATGATTTTCTGCCATGATGTACTTTCATCCCTCTGAAGCTGTTGGCCCAAGTGAACTCTTCATTCTGTGTAGTTAGGTTGGTCAGGCTTTCTCTCCTTTTTTTTTTTTTTATCACAGAAACAGAAAGGTAACTAATATACATAGCCTCTGCCCAATTAACACAGAGGTCAGCTCTGCGGGTCAAGTGTTCCTTAAATGTCTTCAACATATCTTTCCCAGCTGCCACGGTGCATTTCTGCCTGTGTGTAGAGACATACCTTCAATATCTAGAACTTTGTAGCTCTATCTTTCTGTCATTCACTTCTTGTACAATGAATGACTCAAGGCCGGTTAGAGGGGAGATTATAAAGCCCTTCCCAACTCCTTTTCAACATGCATATGCCTTGAGTATGGCCTTGTAGTATCCCAGAAGTGTCAAGGGTCTTTTCAAAGCATCTTGCTGTCTTTATCAACAGACTTTGTAAGCTTTGACTACCTTCAGGCTCAGCTTACTGGTGTTACCACCTCAGGAGATGTAGGATGTTAAATATTTGTCTGTAGTCAGGGCTGTTCACAGTGAGGATGCTGAGACAGAAGAAACCATCCTGCTCTCTCAGCAGAGCTCTGCTGGGAATGGAGGAAAGAGCAGGTTGGGGCGGCTTGTGAGGGACTCCAGGTCCACACTGCTTCTCCGGCAGTAGCTGAGGTGCCCAGGGTTCACAGCTCAAGTACTTCCAGGCATATTGGGATTTTTATTAATTTATTTTTTACAATCCAACCCCAGGTCCCCTCACTCCTCTTTCCCCTACCCCCCTTCCATGTGCTCCTTGGAGAGGGTAAGGCCTCCCCTAGGAAGTCTACTAAGTCTGCCCCATCATCTTGTTGAGGCAGGACCAAGGCACCTCCCCACCCCCACAACCCTGTGTCTAGGCTCCATAAGACAGTTTGTGCATTAGTGTTAGATCTTAGACCCACTGCCAGTGGCCTCAAATATTGTCCCAGCCACCCCATTGTCACCTATATTCAGGGAGGCTAGTTCTGTTTTAGGCAGGTTCCTATTTGTCAGACTGGAGACAGTGATCTCTCACTAGCTCAGGTCAGCTGATTCTGTGGGTTTCCCAATCATGGTCTTGACTCCTTTGTTCATATTATCCCTCCTCCCTCACTTCAATTGTACTTCAGGAGCTTGGACCAATGGTTAGTTGTGGATTTCTGCATCTGCTTCCATCTGTTTCTGAAAGAGGGTTCTAGCTTCTCCGGGGCTGTGGATTGTAGGCTGGGTATCTTTTGCTTTATGTCTGGTATCCACTTATGAGTGAGTACATACTATATTTGTCTTTCTGTTTTTGGGTCACCTCACTCAGAAGTTTTCTTCTAGTTCTGTTCATTTCAAACATATTGTTTTAAAAGGCTTCCTTGGAGCTGGGGCAAGGAATTGCTTCAGCTAGGAATTCTGAAGTTGAAGCGCCATGGAAGGCAAGGTTTCTGCTGAGTTTTTGTTGGTGGTGTTGTTGGTCTTGGTGGTTTTATGCATTACCAGAGCTGTTGATCATGTTGACATGTTGAGATACTTTTCAGGGTCAGGAAGAAGTGGGCCTTGACACTTTTTGCTATGGTATCTTTATTCTTGTGGAGGAATAGAGCTTAGAGGTTGTTACATCATCATCTCTCTGTTTATTTTAAACCTATATTTTCTCTTAGGGCAGACGAGACTAGAATAGCATGCAAAGATGCCTGGGACACACTGATGAATGAACACAAGGTTAATTTGGGATAAGGAGTTTCTAGACAAAGGAAATGGGTAATTTCACTGTTGTTCCTCTGTTTAAGTTTCACTGATGCAGTATGATTCACAGACATGGAAGCTGAGGACAGTAGGTGGGTCTTACGTTCTTTTGTTAAAATAAAATCCTGTGTTCTTGGTGTCTGATTTTTCTATCCCATAGCAGATAAAGAAAAGGAATATTAGCATAGACAGATAGACGATTAGAAATCTGAGATAAGATTTTGAAATAGAAATCAGATGGATGGTCAATGAGGACACACAGGTCACCCTCAGGTATCACTTTCATAAGCTGTATCTGTTAAAATGGAGATGCTAACTTGTGATCATGTTCTTTGCTTTTTGCAACTGATAATGCCTCCTGTATTTTAGCAATCCATCTGTCAAGAATTGCTACAGTGTTTGAGTTCCGATTCTTAAAATTGTAGACTCCCTTTACTCAGCACATCCGTGGCAAAAAATACTCTACATGCAAATGATACTCTAATGAGACACGTCTGTCTCCTTGGTGACAGATTACATTGATGGAAAAGATTGAGTCACAACCCAATTCTATGCATCATGGGAATCAGAATCCCTTTCAGGCTAAGAATGTTAACAGTTTCAATGGGAAGACACAGGTGGAAACGTGATTCGCCATACTGAAAACAGAGCATTGACACACAGTGGTTTGTTTCCTCCACTCTCTGTACTAAGTCCCTCAGGTCTGTAAGCAGTGCTAGCACCTCTGCACAGAGCAAAGCACGCATCTGTCTGTTGCCCAGAACATCATTAGTGATGTTTCTAGCTGTGTAAGATGGGTTAACTGATATCTTCAGAATAAGGTCTGGGCAACGCCTGTGTTATCTGGGGATACTATAAGGGCAGATGGTTCAACATATCACAACAGCCATATGAGATCTCTAGAGTGAGCTGTGATAGGATCTCAGCAGCTGGGGTAGAGTGGGATTCCCAATGCAAAGGATGACAGTGATTGAAGTGCAGCTGTGCACTTTAGCAGCTTTGATGGAACCATCTTGGGGATCAAGGAGCAGCCACTAGTAGCAAGAAAGACAGCAAAACTGCAAGTTTCCCGTTCCTTGTGGCATAGAGAGAAGGCCCAGTCTTCAAAGCCCACATCCTACAAAGCACACCGTCAAAAGCCTACATTGGCCATTCAAAGGCTTCCTAAAAACCCCCATCAAATCATAGGATGCTCGGCTGGGCTGAATAGCACACATGGGCCAACAAAAAACAAATCATTTTTGGAGGGGGCAGCCTGAGGACTTTCTGTTGGTGGTTGATATTACACAGAGAAATACGTTTCAAGAACCACAGTTGTAAAGGCTAGAGATGTGAGTATTTACCAGGGAGTTACATGGAGGGGCAGACAGACATCTTGCCAATCACAAGTGTTTCCCTGAGATAATCTTCGCAACTCATTCTTTAAGTCTAGTACAGTAAAACCCCAAGTCAGTATTACGATGCTGGGATACATTTGAATGGCATGTCCTTCCTGAGAGAAAGGCACCAATATCCTAAAATCCCTAGATTAAAAACTATTCTGAAGGCCAGGGAAATGACTCAGTGGGGAAAGTGCTTTTGCCACCTAAACATGACAACCTGAATCTCTAGCATCCATATCAGAGCTGAGCCTGGCAGCGTGAGCTGTAATCTGAGAGATAGCTGTGGAGACAGAGGCTTCCTGGGGCTCCCTGCGTTCAGTGAGACAGGCCATCTCAAAAAATAGGATGGAAATGGATTTCGGAAGGTGCACGGTGTTCATCTTTGGCCTCCATTTGCACCGTAGGCACTCCCAGACAGGTGCAAGTAGATATGATACACACACATACAGTTCTAGCTGGAATGTCATGTATTTGTAAATCCCCTACAAATATGTTTTCAGTGGTATTTATGAGGCACCTAGTACCAATGTGGGTGTCAGTTTAGCTATTAAAACTCTGTCATTTCTTCTTGCAGTGTCTTGTCAGGTTACAATGGTACCATCTTCGCATATGGGCAGACAGGCAGTGGGAAGACATTCACCATCACAGGTGGGGCCGAGCGCTACAGTGACAGAGGCATCATCCCGAGGACTCTGTCATATATTTTTGAGCAGTTGCAAAAGGTAAGGAAAAAAAAAGTTCAGATTTAATTTGATATACTCAGCAGAAACACACCATGGTGAGGAAATTGCTAAGGTATCTATCACACTGAGCCCTCTGCGGAATGTGCTGTTGTGAGTAACTCCGGCTTTACATTTAAAGAAAGGTGCAGACTTTGCTGGAGGAGTGGAAATTAAGGTGCCCCCCTTACTGGGGCTGGGACTTCATCAAAGGCCAGGGCTCCATTTAAAGGCAGAGAGGCCTTCTGTGGTGGAGTGGGGTGTCTGGGTGTGTGGTGTGCATATGTGTGGGCTGGCACACAAGTTGATATTCAAGGTCCTCTCTTGCCCTCCTCTGATTTCGTTTTGATTTTGATTTTTGAGATAGGGTCTCTTGATGAACATGGGCTCACTGATTTGATTGGCTGATCAGTGGACTCTGGGATGTCCTTCTCTCTGCCTGGCCCAGCATTAGGGTTACCGCCACACACCACTGTATTCAGCCTTTCACATGGGTGCTGGGGATCTGAACTCATATCTGTGTGCTGGGGCAGCTAGCCCTTCATCCACTGAGCTGTTTCCCGGATCGGATAACTAGTATCTTACACTCTGCAGCTAGAAACACTTCTACTAAAACAACTCTGTCTATAGCCCCTAAAATACCAAATCAGTCATACGGCATGATTATCACTTCCCATGGTAGTAACAGAAGCTGGAGGGATTTGCCAGAACATATACCCCACTGCAGTGAGGAGAATCATATTCTAGAGGCATTCCCGTCTCTACTGTATATGTCACCTACTTATGAATGTTTTGCCTGTGTGTGTGTCTGTGTACTATACATATGTCTGGTGCCCACGGAAGGCAGAATACCTAGAGTTAGGATGGTTGTGAGAAACCATGTAGGCACTGAGAATTGACCCTAGGTCCCCTGTAAATGGAACAAGTGCTTTAAACCACTGAGCCATCTCTCCAGCTTTTTAAATGCAACATATATTGTATGTGTGGCTTTTTAAAAAAGATTTTATTTATTATGTATACAGTGTTCTGCCTGCATGTATACCTGCCTGACAGAAGAGGTCATCAGATATCATTACAGATGGTTGTGAGCCATGATGTGGTTGCTGGGAATTGAACTCAGGACCTCTGGAAGAACAGCCAGTGCTATTAACCTCTGAGCCATCTCTCCAGCTCCGTATGTGTGGCTTTTTAATACAACATATATTGTAACTCTCAGACTAGGTATCTTTAGTGCCATTTTAGTTTGAAAACTATAAAACTAAGCCTCCATTGAGATGTTTTTGTCTTGGTCCACATCTTACAAGAGCCGGCCCACAGCTCTGTAAACCAAGCTGCTGCTTTGCTTTCCTCCACTTCCTCTGTAGCTCAGACTGGCTTTGTTTTGTTGGCTGTGTTTGAATCCATTTCCTGTGATGAGTCATTTAACTTCTGTGGGTTTCTGCTTTCCATTTTCTGAAAGCAAGGGTTGAACTGCTCTGGAAGCTCTCTGTCTTCCTTCCAGCTCCAGCAAGTCCTTGAATTCTGTTTAAATGTCTAACTGGGTTGTTGTAACCATCACTCCGGAATTCCCTACTGAATGTTATTTGCATTTTGAGTTGTGAAGACAAGAAGAAATTGCTGAGATCTGCGTAATTCTAATTGCTGGCCAGAAAGCAGCAATTACCATTAGTTCAGCTCTTCTCTCACTGGCCCAAGAGTGCCAAATGTGTGCGCCAGAAAAAGTGCAGGATGAAGGCTGAGTAGAGTGTGTGTGCCACACCCAGAGCCCTTCTCATCTCCAGTTTTCCTGACACTACCTGTATTGTCTTATTCACACAGTTCACAAACAGGGCTGTAATCTTCAATAGCACTTGTTGCCATGGACCCAAGTGGAAAGCTCATCTTAGGAGGGTGGGCAGGGTTGTGTAGGCTGTCTGACGATGTGTCCCAATGGCATGTGGCTTCATGTCTCAATGTCATGGAGCTGCTGTTGGGGGACAGAAATAGTATTTTAAGACCTTGGGCTGGAGCGATGGTGCAGCAGTTAAGAACTCAGCTTTTATTCCAAGCACCCGTATAGGCAGCTCTCACTGTCTCAACTCCAGCTCCGGGAGACCCAACACCCTCTTTCAGCCTCTGCAGACAATGCATTCTCATGCACACACCCACAGAGACAAACACTCAATTAAAAGTAATAAAAACAAATGTTTAAGGTTCTTGGCACCTGGGTATGCTTAGTTTATGGTCATTATTACCATACCATTAGTATTTGTATGTGCAAAGACTTAATGATTGTTACCATACTCATTAATATTCATATGTCATGGTGGCCTAATGATACCTGGCCAGTTTCAGAAAACCTTTTGAAGCTCTCAGAACCGATGAAGCCAATTTCCCTGGTTAGGCTGAATAGAATAAACAAATCCTCTCTTAGTGGAAAGTACGTTTTGTGTCTTCTAAAATATTCTTTGTGCTTACCAAAGAATACCTCTGGACATCTCTAAGTGTCCAGGGCACTGGCCATCTGCCAGGATTGTTGGGAGACCCCTTGTCATTGATGTCACTGAAAATCTTGTTTAGTTCTGAATCATCCCAAGTAATTTCCTGGACTTGGAGAAAGCCCACCAGACCAACTAACAGCCAGGGAAACTGAAATGGATCAGTTTCTGCCATGGGCCACACACATTTGTTATAATCACAGTGGATTGTACTAAAACAAGCAGGGCTTAAAGTGCCCCGTGAAGTGTGTCCACACTGGAGACTAGAGAACACAGACTTAAGTCAGAGGCCCTACAGATTGCCTTAGATCAGAGAGCTCAGGGTGAGAATAAAGCCAAGCTCTCCTTCAGGACAAGCCGAGAGCCCAGCGCATGCTGTGTTGTGGATGGCCTCAGAGTGAGAACGTAATTCCACTGCACTTGGGAGGGTTCCACTTGTTGCAGAGCTTGAGTCTCCTTACACTGGAGCATTGTGAGGTTCACACTTGTTTGGGGTAGAAGAAATGTCTGTCTGCCGGAAACACGTGTGTTACATTACAGTCTGGCAATCCAGATGCTGAAAAGGACCGAGAAAGGTATCTTGCCACATCACTCAGTGAGACTGGAGTATGCATGCTGGAAAAACTGCAGGAGAGGCAGAAGCTGGAGGAGCCAGGCATTGTCCTCATCCCTGGGGCAGTGGGCCGGCCATTTCCCTGACTTGTTACTCTAATTCTACAGAAGAGAGTGCCCCCATTACAGACGATGGCTCAAGTTCCCTGTTCTTTTCTTGTGCCCATTCCTTTTATATTCTTGTATTGTTTTAGCTACTTTGACCAGGGCTGTAACAAATACCCAACAAAAACAGGTTAAAGTAGGGTGTGTTTTGCCTCAGTGTTTGAAGATGTAAGTTCACCGTGTGGGGAGGGCATGGTGGTGGGAACGTTAACCACCTGGTCACGCTGTGTGCACAGTCAGGAAGCGGTGAAGAGTGCTGGCACTCAGCCCCTTCGTCTTTTTCCCTCACTTACTCAGTTCAGGACTCCAGCCCATGAGAAAGTGCCATCCATATTCAGGTGGGGGGGTTCTTTCCCCGGTTACACTTCTCTGGAACCCATCACACTTATTTCTCCATTTGGAGGCTTCTAGACATAATACTCGAAAACAGTTACCAACTGCAATAACAGTAGCAACAGCCACAGTGGTTCATTGGTGCCCAGGTATTTTTGGTAGAACTTGAAATGTAGACAGACTTCTCTTAAGTCAGTTTTGCATGATCATGGACATTTCATAACTTATTGTCATATGGAACCATGTTAGAAGCACGCCTGCTCTAGCAGAGGATGGGGGTTCAATACCATCACCTACATTGGGTGGCTCATGATGGCCTGTAACTCTAGCTCAGGGGGATCTGATGCCCTCTTCTGGTCTTTGTCAGTACCTGCATTCATGTGCGCACACACACTAAACTACACACACACACACACACACACACACACACACACACACAGAGTAAATAACTGAATTGTTTTTTTAAAAAGAATATAAAATTCTGAGTAGTAGGAAAGTAAAGGAAAATTAATTATGATCATGAATGAAAACTTTGGCTCCTGGTCTTTGAACCAAAGTAACAAGCTCTGGCTCTGCTGTTTTATGAATCAACTGTTCACAGAATGTCACAGATTGTAAATTTATTTGTGTTTTCTTAGTAACCTTTTGGGGGGATCTGGAAAGTAAAAAATGATGTATTATTCAGTTCTACAAGTGTATATTGACATTTTATGTATAATATGGCACCAGTAAAAACTAACAGACTGAAGTTACTTATAATAATGGATATTGGCTATTACCAAAACAAACAAACAAACAAACAAACAAACAAACAAAAAAACACTTCATGCAGATGGCCACAGCAACTCAAAAGTGTCACGAACTGCAAATGTAAACCATATAAATGGAAAGGAAAAGGAGGGACACTATGAGAGAAGCCCAAAGACAAATGGTGCATCTCTCTCTAGCCAAACAGTTGTTTTTAGTCATTAAATAATACCTTTTCCTTCTCCAACCAGGATAGCAGCAAGATCTACACAACACATATTTCTTACTTGGAAATCTACAATGAATGTGGCTATGACCTGCTGGATCCAAGACATGAAGCCTCCAAACTGGAAGATCTGCCGTGAGTAGCAGGATAACAAAGACCAGCAGGAAATGGTTTTCAGATGTTTTGTTTCCTTTGAAATTTTTCTCTGTTTCTGGTCTCGATCATAATTAGCAAATATTGGATCACAGCATCTTTCTGTAATGAGCAGGAGTGATGGGAACTAAGATTGCTTGAAGCTCGTTTCTCAGGGGAATCTCTGTGGGAGTCAGCACGATTGTGCAGTGGATGGTCTCAGGGGGCATTTCAAGATTGGGGCAGCACTTTACCCCACCTTACGAAGCCCCACACTCCTTGAAATACACCTTTCTTCCAAAAGCAGTACTCAGTTTATGCAGGAGTAAGCCTGAGAGAGGAAGTGTTCCTCAAATGCCTCTCTGCTGCACCTCGCACCTGCCTTCACAGCCCTTTGATGGGATGGATCAGCATTAGTTGTTTTCAGTGAGATGCAGGCTTCAGATCTGTTGTGTTGACAGAGGACACTCCCCTGCCAGGATCACACAGTGTTGCTGTTTGCAATTTGTTTGAAACCTGCCTGAGTTTGATGTAGGAATTGGTAGTCATTCATGCGCTTATTTCCAGGTGTTTTTATGTATTGGAAGCTGCCTACAACCAAGAAAAAAAATGTTTTAAAAATTCATTTTATTTTGAAGTAAGTGTGTGTGTGTGTGTGTGTGTGTGTGTGTGTGTGTGTGTGTGTGTGTGCGCGGGGAGTGCAGATACCAGTGGAAGCCAGAAGAGTGTCCAGTTCCCTGGGTCTGGAGTTACAGGTGGCTGGGAGCTGCCTGGCCTGGGCGCTGGGAACTGAACTCAGGCCCTCTGGAAGGCAGAGCATGCTCTTAATTATGCAGCCATCACTCCATTACCAAAATATATATTTTTATTCTTCTTATAAAATACTCTGAGATAATGTAGAAATATGTGTGAATTCTCTGTGGAAAAAGGTCATCAATTGACTATTGATAATACAAGTTTCATATCCAATAAACAAGTTACTAAATTAGTAAAAAGATCAGAAATTAATAAAATAATTCATAATCCGTATATTATTTCATTAATATTTGTTGAGGCATTTCATATATCACCTTTTTATGTTTACAAAATTCCCAAGATGGAGTCAGGAAACACAAAAGTTGTTTGTAGTGTAAATATTGGTATAACAGCGAAGAGAGAAGAAGGACCACTGACTCTATGGAAGAAAAAAGCTTTTCAAGCTTAAGAACTTACTTTTAAAAGGGTAAAGCTTCCTAATGGGGACAGGAATGGCAGCGTCAGACAGAGGGCATGGTTGGAGAGCCTGTGCTGTGAGCGGTGGGTGATGGTGTTAGGTGATGGAGCCTCTGATGTATGCTGCCCTGCTCAACATAGTTACTGTCCTATAAAAGAGGACCATGGTGCTGCCCTGTGCATTCTGAAATGCTGAGGACTCCAAGCGAAGCTGGTAGCTTACAATCCAGAAGAGAGCAAGCTGACTCCTTGGTTTGGGACTTGGAGCCTCTATGACTGTTGCTTACAGTCTGCTGGGTTTATTTCCTGTCCTAGTAGCTCAGTTGCACTACAACAAATATCACCTGAAAGAAATCCCAGAAGCCACTGGAACCAGTTTGAGGAAGGGCTTGGATGTCAGGTTTCTGGTTTGAGGCTTGTTTTTGTTCTGATCAACTTTTTGTTTTATAGTCTCCAGGATGGCCAACATACTGGCAGATTAAATCTTGTTTAAATTGTTTTCAGTAGCTGGGCATGGTGGCACAAGCCTTTAATCTCAGTATTCTGGAGGCAGGCAGATCCATGTAAGTTTGAGACCAAACTGGTCTACAGGGTGAGTTCCAGGACAGCAAAGGCTACACAGAGAAACCCTGTCTCAATAAACAAACAAAAATTGCTCTCAATATATTTAGAAGGCTGTTTGATACCATGTCCATAATGGCAATAGGTTCACTCACAGGGCCTATGATCTCCCTAGCCCTGAGTTTTTGGCCAATTTTATAGTGGGCCTCAAATCCAATTAGAGAGCCATTGGTTACACCCATAACATTTATGCCCCTGTTACAACCAGGAGGTTATCTTTTCAGACCAGGCATTATTGTAGCTGACAAGGTTCACAGCTGGGTAAGACCACTGATAACTCTCTCTCCCAGCAGCCTGCATAGTACCATCCAGAACTATGAAAGCTAGCCAGCAGAGAGAAAGCTTCCTGATCAATCAGCTTCATTTCTCCAAGTCCTCTCTGACCAGAGTGCACACTGTCTCCATAGTAGAGTCTTACTGTCAAGTTCTGGCAATAACTGTGATGATGTAAAGAGTGATGGCAATAACTGCATTGTTTGGGATCCTCTGGGACTCACTTCCATGAGAGGAGGTTAAAAACATTGTCTTCAATTAGGATCGTCAATACCCAACAGTTTGGCAAACATTAAGCAATAATCTAATCCAGGAATGAAGGGCTTGTCGCCATTAAACAGAGAGGAGAGATAAAGCTAAGATGTTTGCAAAAAAGAAAGGAAAGAGGTGGAGGAAGAATATGAAGCAAGGGATACCAATGGTTTACACCTTGAACCTCACGTTTGATTTGAGTAGAATTGAAGGTTAACTCCCAAAGGCTCACTTCTTGATTGTTGGCCTGGAACATAAAACCCAGAGAGGTTTGACTCACCCAGAATCTCAGAACAACTAATTGGCAATAGAACAAGAATTAAATCCAGACATTCACACACTTTCATGCTCGAGTGGCAAGAGGGATTTCAAGAGGTTTTATACAATGGGGCTGTGAGAATTAAGGAGTCCATTTAAAAGAATCCCATCAAAAACTTGAGTAGGTAAGGATGAAGACTTTGAGGATGTGCCTTTGGGTTTGCCATACCAAACCGTGTGTTTATTAACAGATTTATAGTAAGTCCTAGGTGGGGCGTATGTGTCAAGTAGTATGTCTTGCTTGGTTTAACAGTTTCCCTAATGTCAGTGCCTTAATATTTTTTTTTAAAAAAATTATCTATGGGGCTAAGGAGGTGGCTCCATAGTTTAAGTGATTGTCATGCAAGAGTGAGGACCAGAGTTCAGATCTCAAGAACACCCATAAATGCAGGTAGTTGTGGTGGCCAGCCAGGAAGCCTCAGAAGGCAGAGACGGGATCTGCAGAGCCAGCTGCCTAGGGAGACTAGCCATTTTGGCCAGCTTTGATTAAGAGACCCTGCCTCAGGGAATAAGGAAGAAGAGCAATTGAGGATGATTCCCAACATCAACTTAGCACACATCCACATGCGCACCCACACACAGCAAACATGCCTGTACACATACGCACATGTGAAGATGAGAAATGGGGAAATCAGGTATTAAGTTTCAGTTAAGAGGTTGAGACAATGAGGGAGAAGAGGAATAGCAAGCCACTTCAGTGTGAATCCACTGCACAGGGTAAGGTGTGGCCAGAATGAGAAAAGGGGCCACTCTGAGAGAATAGAATGTCCAGGGTTCTTGAAACCAGGATCTTCAGAACCTAGCCACAGCTAGGAACTTTAGACAGATTCTTTCATTTTTCTGCATTTCTTTATACAGTGTAGGCATTGGATCAAACGCTGTTTATCAGCCTTCTAATGTCCATCGTCTAAAGGCCAAGAATTGGTGACGTTCACAGTGTGGGCCTTTCTTGGTGACTTCTTCCCACTTTACCCAAGAACAGTGATTTGGATGTTTTCTGATGTTCCCATCTGGAAAAAAGCAAAGACAATAATTCCATTCTCCCTGTGACTCGGCATCCCTGAGCATGCGTGGGATTTAATAGTGACTGTCAATGCTGGTCAGGTTGTTGCTAGAAACGTCATAGGCTTGAGTTGTCCTTCAGTGACTTGTCTTTCATCTCAGTGTGACACTGCTGATTCAGTGAGGAGAAAACTCAGGACACACTAAGATATGCACATATGTAAATCAATAATAAAATATAAATTTAAATAAACACACATATTGCCACTACAAAAATTAATTAAATCTGCCATAGACCTAAATATACAGTTCAAAAATAAAACTCTGGAGGATAATGTGAAAGGGAATCTTAGAAAATCAGGGTTAGGCAGTGAGTATTTAGATATAACACCAAAAGCATGATCCATGAAAAGAAAAAAAAATATTAGTAAGTAGAACTTATTAAAAGTAATGTTTTGTTGTTCTGTAAAAGCCTCTTTTAAAAGAATGAGTAAATAAGGCATGTATTTGGAGAGAATGGCTACAAACACCTGTACACAGAGTTTACATCCAGAGCTGGAGAGATGGCCCAGGACTGAGAGCACTGGCTGCTCTTCCAGAGGAACTGAGTTTAATGCTCAGCTCCCATGTGTCTGCTCACACCACCTGCAACTCAAGAGGATTTGGCAGATTCTGGCCTCCATGGGCTCTGCACGAATGTGTTGTAATACATATGTGCAGGCAAAACACAGATACGCATAAAATAATAGGCTATAACATGGATTTATATGCAGGACATACAATAACTCTTAAAGGCCAGAGAGGATAAAGCAATGGATGATTTCGAATGGGACAGAACTCACCAGTCATGTCTCTAATGACTAAATGCACAGATGAAAAGTTAGCAGATGCAAACAAGCTCAGCACCATCTGTAATTAAAGAAAACAACAGTGAGGGACCACTGTGTACCTGTGAGAATGGCTAAAATTCCAGAGTCTGACAATACCAAAGGCTGGCAAGGTTGTACAACAGTGGAAATTCTTACTGCTGGTGATAATGCAGAATGATGTGGACACATCTGTGAGACCAACTGGAAGCGTCTTATAAAACCAAACATCCATTATACAACATAGCAATTGTGTGCCCAGATATTTACCCAAATGAGCTAAACCCTGAGATTCACGCAAAAACCTGTTGACAAGTGTGAAGAGCGGCCTCATTCATACTTGCCTCAAGCTGAGTGTAATCATGATGTTCTTCCAAACTATGTACATCCATACAGGGTGGACACAAAGGAAACCACTAAGTCACGGGAGAGGCTTAAGGCATTTTGCCAGAACAAAAG